GTACACACAAAAAAGCCAGAGTGTGTACATGTAGTGTCGTACTCGCCATTGGGCATTGCCAGAACCGGTTGGTTTTTCTTTTCAGTCACGAAAAGAGAAAACTTGTTGGCCTCTTGTGATTCTAAAGACAATATTGTTAACAGCCGGGAGCAGTGAATAAAATGTATTATACTTTAGTTACATGTCGGTGCTGTACTTAATTTTGTAGAGGAGACACGAGATCATCAACCAGTACTTATTCCCAGGAAGCAACTCCAAAGCTCAGCACAATTTCTTGTGCTGGTTAATGTTAATGTGCACTTCTCTATAAAATTCTATAAAAAAAATGTTCTTTTCAAAAAAATATTGATTGCTTATACCTCAATCTATTCTGCAAAGATTTACTTAATCCGCTGGTATATATATATATATATGTACATACATATGTTATTTGGGAAGCACAAACTAGAGAATGTTCACCAATTCTCGTAGAAAAGTTACTTTCAATCAACTATTTTTCTTGCCCTGCTTGATTCTCGAGGCTTCTCATCTGTTTAATGTGCACAGGATAGTTCACAGAAAAAGGAAAATTCACTAATTGTCTTTTCTCCGCTATGCCGATGGAGGGGTGGGTGAAGTGTTTAAGTCCACAAAATAGTTTTGGATTCTCAGGGGTAAACAGTGTTTCATTTTTCGGTGAACTGTCCCTTTATGGTTAAATAGTTTTTGCTATAATGTGGATTGTGGTGGTGGTGGTGGATCATTGTCGAGGTGGCAGCTGATGGTGGATCCTGATGGCGGAACAGTATCCTGACGATGGAATGTGGATTATGGTGGCATCTGAGCGTGGTGGTGGATCTTGATCGTGGTGTCAGCTGATTGTGGACTGCTATTTTCCAAGACTACTTGATAAACAAAATGCCTACTCACTAACTCTGTCTTTACTGACAATAACTCCTCAATTCATTCACTTTCCATTATGTTACAAACTGTTTCTTCAAATCAATATTGTAAATACTCTTAACTTGCTGATGTTCTCAGTAACAGGTGGCATCTTTTGCACTTCTGTCCATCCCTGACATGTGGCTCTCTCTGAGGTTTCTAAGTTTTAACCCCTGTTAAAAGGTTTTGTTTGTAGTATTTCCTTACTCTTGTTGAGGGTTGAAGGACAGAGGATGTCACACCTTTTTAAAGCACTTTGAGACTAATTGTGATTTATGAATATGGGCCATAAAAATAAAATTTGATTAATAATTTTTTTGAAAAAGATTTGATTAAAAAAACTTGCCACGTTCCTAGTTAGCTTTTTCCTGTATTTGTTTGCAGTGTGCTAGCAGCTATATATAAATTTGTTTTTTTATGCCTAAAGTTCAAGCCAGATAATGACTGGGCTGCCAACATTCCTCTTGTAAACAATAGGCGTATACATGCATCTTGTAGTCCTTTGTATTCTGAAAGTGTTTTATGTATCCCCTCTGAACTACTGGATTTCCTGAATCTCCCTTCCTGAGCGGAATAGATTTTAGTTTTCATCCATATGCCCTTATCCACACTGCCTGTGTTCCAAGGGCAAATGTTTTCTGAGTATACAGGAAGGGTTTAGGAAACCACGCATTGTTTTTGAATTTTCTCTTGTGTGACCCTGGAAAGCACATAAAATCTCCAGCCAAAATTCCAAAACCATTTCACATGGATTGGCAAGGTAAATATGTCTTAGCATATCTTATCACTATGGTGTCCAGAAGACTATGTTCTCCTGGTCTTTCTTATTCATGCACTGGATTTTAAAGTCTGGACACTGTTTGTTTTTTTGGTATATTTGTTTTTATTAACTCAGTGCGCTGAAGCATTCCAGACAAGAGTTGAAGCAGGCGGACACATAATATTTATTGTGATGGAGCTTGGTTACCATGGCAGTTGGTGTTGATATGCCATCAATGCTGGCTCCTTATGCCAAAGACGGTCTAAATGAAAGGGCCGTGTCATGTATGCACATGATTGTTTGTTGTTAAAATGATGCTTTGGGTGCCCACTGAGAATTCCCATCTTGCATAGCTTAAATGTAAGATGGAAGGAAATTGAACATCCTGGTGTCAGATACACAGTGTATTGTTGTGAAGCTATAGTTTGTTTTTAGCACACCCCACTTGTAATGTTTGATCCATTATCTGTTGTTGAATTCAAAAGATTCTGCAGCAGGTTGAAGGGCTGAATCCCATCGTTGCAGTTATCTCTCTGCAATATTAGGGAAACTTAAAAAATACTTGTGAAGTGTTACTCACTTCCACACTGTTTACCAGAATTCAGCCATAGCAAAGGTGGGTTAAGCCTAGTCATTATCTGGGTAAATACCTAATGACGTGGATATTGACATAGTGTTATTTAGATGACTTTAAGCTATGTATTGTGAGTAATGCCTGCAGAGGACGTCACCTAATGACAGGTTACTGAAAGAGTTTCTCTGTAGTGTCAGATGACATAGATGTAAACATGACATACTGGAAAGACAAGCTTCAAGGTTTAACTAGGACATGGTCGTGTGCAACAGATTCTGAAAACTGTGGTACTTTGTTAAATTCAGTACTGATGTATAATGGAGTGTATGATAATTGATAATAGACCTACTTTCTTCATTATTGTTGTTCATTTTCAGTGAGTGAGTATTATGTGCAAAAGTATTTTATAATATTTATCCTTGTGATTGATTTCAAGCATCAAACTAACAGTTCATTCACAGTAAAACTATATGAGTTTTGTTTTCATAATGGTCCGAACTTTCAGTGTTTGAGATGAACGTGTGTCCAGTTTGTGTCTCTCATGCAGCAGCATGCCAATATATTCCCCCTTTTTAAGAATAGCCTGCTATCTAGTTCTCCCCGTTTCCTGTTTTCAACACTAAAACAGTCAGGCTGTTTTCTGTGCGCAAGGGACAGATACAAGTTGTGCTGTGTTTTAAGTTTACTCTTTTTTTTTTTTTTTAAATCTACTAGTTGATTATGACAGTGCTGTATGCAGTCTATTGTGTGAGGTATGGTATTTTTGTTGAGGTACGGTGGTTTTTAATGGGTGAAACTAATGTTTTCTGTTGTATAGCGCTGTTGTGCTGACGGCAGGACAAAACCTGACCCACAGTGTTCCAGAGCATCAGGGCTGAAAAACAGAACTCACAATTCACTCAGTGGACAGTAGGCAGCTGAGTGATTCAGTGGCCCTGGTAGTGGTATGCCAGGAGCTGTTGAATCCTACTGACTGCCAACTCGGACACAAAACAAACCAGTCTGAACCTACTCACGTGCTTGTTTCTTTATGTGTTTATTATCCACACTAGTCGTATAGATGAACCATTTATATTGAAAGTCACATGCACATTGATCAGTCATTACAAAAGGCTGTGATCAAGAACAAATAATTGAATTTCAATCTTATTTCACACACTCACCTGTTCTCGTGGTTTTCACTCAGACATATGGTTTGTTCTATGCTCCACAGAACAACAGCACTTTTATCAGCAAGGTTCAGCTGATACTAATTCAGCCAACCGCAAAAGTCTTGTGAGAAGCACTCACTCTTTCAGTTGGTCTTGAACAGTCTGTCTCTGCTCTGGCTTGTACTTGCACTTAAATCTCAGTTGGCACCCTTATTTTCAGGCATACTGTATATCTGCGGTGTATGTCTATGTGGTAGATTTGCAGGTGATGGGTTTGCAATGCACCTTTTCCAACCCTACATCCTGTCTTCCGTTTCTTTCTTTATGTATGTCTTTGCTTCCCTGATTTCATTTTATTATAAAAATCATTCACTCATAAATGCATTGCTTCGCTTCTTGGAGACTCACATTTCAGGGTTGATTGTCCGATGAGAAAATGTGGGTTCATACGGGAAGTTCACATGACGGAAGCGTCTCAGACTAACTAAGTGTTATGACTAACTTTTATCACGAGCATCATTCAGTGTTTGGACTTGCCAGTTATGTAACTATGCCAGTCAGACCCAAGATGGAAGACTGGTGGCGTTAAGGAAAAGAGGAGGAAATAGGTACTGCTGCACATTGTACCAGCCACGACCCTGTTGCATAACTGCTGGCTGGCCACTCTACAAGTTTGCCTATGATTTGCATTTGTGAAAACAAGCAATTTAGAGACACTGTGGCCCCTTGGCACAGCTGAGCCTATTGTGTGGAGCCCTTTGTTGTAAAAGAATTAAAGTTCTTCTACTGTGGCTTAACCGAAGTGAGAATTTTGGAAAAGTACGAAGGGGATTTTTTTTTTGGCGTCACACTTGTTTGGCTGCACTGTTTTGTTCTGATTCTCTCAGATTCTTCAGAATGTACTGTATTAGTTTCCAGTAAAAGACCCATTGTAGTTATGTGTTTTTATTTAACTCAGTTACCCTGAGCTTTTCACGCATTTGTACTGAAATAAAGAGTGTAGTAGTGGAGCTGTAGTAAGCTGTCTCTAAATAACACTTCTGTCCAAACACTGGAAGTTAGAGCCTGGCTGATATATCAGCCGATATCCACATTACAAAAAAATAATTCCTAAGATGTTGTTATTAAACCCTCATGCCAAAGAAAAAGTAATTGAGGCTTGATATTGTACAGATTTACCATAATTTCTATCAATAATAACTGTAAATAAATAGAAAACTCAAGTACAACTAAATATATAGAAGTTCAATCAAGAATGTAAATCTTATTTATTTTATCTATTCCGCATAGTTTATTTAGTAAGATTTCATTTAGTTACATATCTGTAAACAAATGCCAACACCAATACATCTGTGAAAGGCTTTCAACGGACATTATCTTATATTATATTACTGGAAATCTCGCTACAAAATAATTATGTGTTGAGGATTGAGGATACAGTTTGAAATATGTATAAAGTATGTTTCTGATGGGAAATGAGCAGCCATATGATGTCGTATAGTCACCAGCCAGTTGTGAGCTGTGACTCTGAAGAGAAGATGGAAACTTTTATCAAAACCACTGTGTTAACTGACAATTTCTCTTTCTCTTTCAGGCCTATGAGCGCAGGTTCCCCACCTGTCATCTCATTCCCATGTTTGTGGCGAGTGACGTGATGGTTGAGGAGGCCAGTGAAGATGGATCAACCCACAGAATTGAGCGCCGCTGTGCCCTGGACGTGGACGCTCCACGCCTGCTCAAAAGGGTATGGCGTTCATAGATCTTCAGATAATGTGCATCTCAAGCTCAGTGCCTTATGGTTGTTATGGTTCCCTCCTGCTTCAGAGGATTACATTGTTTTAACTTTAACTAAATAGGTTTAAGTAGTTTGTTCATTTGTTTCCAACTGTTTACACATACACAATAGGGCTGCAACTATTGATTATTTTGATAATCGATTATTCTGTTAATTATTTTTTGAGTAATTAATTATTAATCAGGTAAAAAGACAAAGCTACATTTTACCAGCACTTTGTTTAAAAGCAACTTCATTTTGTTGTACAATGCTGTTTTTATATGTATTATAGACACTTGCAACTTAATTAGGATGATAATTCCAGATTCAGATTTTTACAATTTAATTCTGATTAATCATAATCCAAGTTCAAGATATATTGAATTTTCCTCAATTTAAGAATGTAGGTTTGAACCTGTCAGAAAGGTGTAGATATCATGAACTTGAATTATGAATAGTCAGAATTAAATTGTGATATCTGAAACTGGAATAAAAATAATATAATGTGATATACTATAGTATAATAATTCAACTGAATTGTAGATATCTATAATGAGAAATTACACATTGGAATGACATAAGTAGTTTATATCTTTATACAACAGATTTGGAAAATGCTTAAGTAGTTAAAACAGAATTGATGATTATGTTTAAGTCAAAATGATGATGTTTATGATGTATCTTACATAAGATTTATTACTAATCAAAACAAGGTTGATATTGTAATTCTGCAAAGTAAAACTTGTTTAAGAAAAGTTATTGTGACTGTTGGTGTATCTGTTGCTCACACCGTCTCTGTCACTCAGAGTAGACTACAAGCACTGAGCTTAAAGTCATGTCTACATTTATGTAAAACTAAGCACTGCAACATCTTCCAGTGGATTTTTTTTGTGCTTTAGAACCTAATCTCATCAGAGGGTTACGGTTTGTGTTTTTGTTTTTCTGGTTTGTGTTTGCTATTGGTGCTTGCTCTCTTCATTCAGCACCTCAACCACCACTGCTCTCTCTCTGTCTTTCTTATTCGTGGGACGTGGCTTCATTTTCAAGCTAGTGTGTAAATTTGCTGCCTCATGTGGTTTGCAGATCGCTGGTGTGGACTACGTCTACTTCAGCCAGAAAAACACTCTGAACCGAAAGGAGAGGACGCTGCACATTGAGTCCCATAATGAGACCTTCTCCAACAGGGTCATCATCCATGAGACCTGCTGTTATTCGGTCAGTAGAATACATTCCTCCACATAGCTTTTAACACATGAGTGTGTGTTTGGGTTTTAAAGTACAGGTGGATAAACCCTGATCCTGTGATCCTGGCTGTTTATGTAACATACTCAACACCTTGTGTTTTTACTAAGTCGCTTACCTACACACACAAACAAGTAAACACATCCTCTGAAGCCGTTCAGCTGCTGAATGATGAGCTGCTGCCAGCACACCAATCTTAATATTTGTGCTTCCTCTAATCTCTGCCGTGCCTCCCTGCAGAATAAGCCATGTTTAGACGAGCACTGAGCATATGGCGAGCTATTTCATACCATTGGGGCAAAGATGTTATAAAAAAGAAATAGACTAAGTTCTCTGTTTGTCCTTCACTTAGATACAACATGCATCTAAGTGAGATGCATTGGTTGGTTTGTGCGTGCTTGCGTCCATCTGAGTTCTAAGTGTTATATATAAGTGTTTTTATTTGGGAAATGCAGACGTAAAAGTATGACTCAACAAATTAAGTTTATTATGAATTCAATTTTGCTAAATAATAATACATTAGGCATACATATGCTTTTAAACTGTTCTGAAACCATCATGTCCTCTGTATTCTACCAGCTCTACTTCGGAGCTCTGCATTCAGATCTAACAATTCATGACTGGATGAGCTCTGAGTTAATGAGGTCAAGCACACTGAATTAGCCTCCAACCAACTAGCGTGCAAATTTTAGGTCCAAGGCCACACAGAAGCTCTTATTGTGTGCTTAAGCACACTGTGCGAACAGTAACTGGGATGGACAGAGCTAATGGACCTGGCTGGAGCTAAAATATTTTGGTAGCTAAGGGTATTGAAGCTACCAGTACACTGCCCTCAGAAAGCATTTAGCTTTGGACTTCTTTCCAAAATTAATAATTTTGTAGCCTGAACGGTGAAAATGTTTCTATGGTGATTTCCCCCCACCCCTGTAGAGCTGCCATCGAGGTGCTAAAATCAGCTGGAAGATGGATGGAAAATAATGGTGCTTAATAGTGAAGGATACTCACCAGTGAATCCTGATGATTTGTTCTGATTTGACTCTGTCCTATGTTTTGATTGACTTTCCTAACCTTTGTACCCTTTACCAGCACTTGTGTGTTCTTATAAGTTAGCATCATATTGGTTTTACTGGGAAATGTTGATAAGTAAAGGACTGGCTAATTTTATATGGACAGAATGACACACACCTCCCACTGTCAGTGCACAGTATGAAAAATCTTCTCTGTGTTAGTCATCGTTGAATGATGCTGGGTGTGGGCTTACCATAGAAACATGCATTTGCATACGGTATAAAATCTAACTTGGAACGTTTTATATGTTGGTACAGGTTCACCCGGAGAATGAGGAGTGGACGTGCTTTGAGCAGACCGCCAGTCTGGACATCAAGTCATTCTTTGGCTTTGAGAGCACAGTAGAAAAGATTGCTATGAAGCAGTATGCCAGCAGTATCAACAAGGTGTGTGTGTTTCGGTGGTTACACCTAATTAAGAATATGTACCGTAGTGGTTAGGGTGAGGACTCTTAGTTAACAGCATAATAATGGGTCCTGCATGGATAAAGAACACACATCAATGTATTATGTGACTTTGGTATTAAGAGGTTTCTGGAGCACAAGTTTGTCAGTCCATCTCTTGCTGTCATTGCAGAAGTAAGCTTGTATAATCTCTTTAGCCATTTTATATATATATATGGAGTGCTGCAGAATGTCTGTGCAATTGGGCCCAGACTTTCCACATATTTAGTATCATGAATACTGTTGGCCCTGTATCCCAAATTCCTCTGTTAATATTAATTGCATTGGATTCACATCCTCTCCTGCTATTCCTCACAGGGAAAAGAAATAATTGAGTTCTACCTAAAGGAGCTACAAGATGAGGGGATCACTCACATACCCCGCTGGAGTTCCTCCTCCGATTCCCCGCCTCCTCCTAGGCCGACCAGCCTATCCACCAGCCCGCCTGACCCCCCCAAGCTCGTGATCACACCCGCTGTTTCTATTCCACTGCCCGCCAACGCCAAGGACAGCACCTCCCAAGACACCAAGCAGGACATCACCACGCTTCAGACAGACAGCCTAACTGAGATTCTGGCCGGTACACCTGAAGGTCTGTTCCTGCAGATGCTTGAAAAATAAATGCTGCTTTTCTTATATGCATAAGTTATAATGGTGATAATCTTCGAAGCAAAGCAAAATTTTAATGTTATTCATTAAAGGCAAAGAAATGGACAAAGAAAGAACAAGAATTGACTTTGGTTTCAGTGAAGGTGTCACATTATTTTGGTTAGTTGACCTTTGCCTGAACTAAATTATAATCAGAGCTGCTGTGTTTTTGTTTTTCAGACAAGCTGGATGCAGACTATATCAAACGTTACCTTGGCGACCTGACCCCCCTGCAGGAGAGCTGTCTGATCAGACTTCGCAAATGGTTGCAGGAGACACACAAGGGAAAGGTGATCAAAAATGTTCCACTTCCATATTATATCATTGTCATGGACCTCTACAGACGAGTATAACACAAAAAGTTACGTAGATCACAGATTCTGACTATTTTAGTCTGTCAGCTCTCAACTACGTGCTACATGTAACTGAGCAGCCAGTTGCTGCGATACAAATGATTTAAACTTGCAAACTTGCAGTGACACTGGTAGTAGTAATGTTGTTCTTTTCTTGTGATTTTGTTTCTTTGCTCACAAAGTAAACTGCAGCTTAACACTCTCCCCTTACTCTCCAGATCCCTAAGGACGAGCACATCCTGCGTTTCTTGCGGGCCAGAGACTTCAACATAGACAAGGCCCGTGAGATCCTGTGTCAGTCGCTGACCTGGAGGAAGCAGCACCAGGTGGACTACCTGCTGGAAACCTGGAGTTCACCACAGGTCCTGCAGGACTACTACACCGGGGGCTGGCACCACCATGACAGAGGTTGGTTTGCATCTGCAAACACAGTTGTTCAAGTTTAAGTGCTGCAGCCTGACGTGTTCAAACACATGTTCACGTTTGATTTATGTTGCCCATCTTGGAGTTGGCTATGATTGTACTGTCAACTGGAGAAAGATCTTAGCTCTCCAGTTTCTCCCATTCTTAAGTTGCATGCAGGCAGGCACACTAGAGCCATTCTCAGCAACCTTCTCAGCCTTTAGCCATGGACGTGAATTAAACATTAAGCCAATTTGTTGGCTCAACTTGGTTACCCAAATAGCTTACACAGTCTCTCTCTCTCTCTCTCACACACACACACACACACAAACACTTTTGGTTTGGGTGCATGCCCTGGTTTCCTTATTTATAACAGAAGGCAGCTGTTGACATTATAAATCAAATTTAATTGGCTTTAATGTCCCCACATCAGTGGACAATTAATCTCATTTCATGTTTTCCACAAGTGTTTGTTCCAGATCAACAAGGGCAAACCATGAAAGTATTTCCCAGTGTACACAGTCACTTACTGCTTTATGTAACAGAAGAACAGACATGCACATAATACAGCCTTTTCCACTTAACTTTCAGCCTCGCAGAGTGTAAACAGTGTAATGTAAATGTTTGTTTTGTTGGTCTAGATGGTCGTCCATTGTACATCCTAAGGCTTGGCCAGATGGACACTAAAGGACTGGTCCGCGCTCTGGGAGAGGAGTCTCTACTCAGACATGTACGTAACACAAGCTGCAACACACTTTGGGATTGCATGTTTCAGTATGGGTTTATAGGACAGGCAGTAGGTAGTTGGGTTACATCAGGAAATGAATGTGCAGTGTCCTGACAGGTGTATTAACATCAGGATGTTTATGTACAGGAAATACATAAATAGTCTGCTTATTTATAAGGCTGCTCACACTGTACGTTGCCCTGGTTACCAATGTGAACGCCAAACGCTCGACATGTAAAAACACAGAGCAATGAGTGTATATCGTGTCATTGTAGGTGCTGTCTATCAATGAGGAGGGCCTGAGGCGCTGTGAGGAGAACACCAAGGTGTTTGGGCGACCCATCAGGTAAACTTTTAGCACTGATCAAAGTCGATCAAGTCAAATCAAAATGTCAATGTTCTCCAGTTGTTTTTTTCCTCAGATTTGTGGATTTGCTATTTATCCAAGCTAAATGTATTTGTAAACTGAATCTCTTTTAATATTTTGACTGTTGGTTTAACAAAAAAAAACAATTCAACATTATCTGGCTCCTGAAATGTTGTATAATTCAGGCGACTGTGATAAAAAAGACAGGAGTGCACTAAAAACTACAAAGTGGACTAAGTAAAAAAACTGACAATTATCAATGATTAATCCTAAAAGAAATAACATCCAGAAAATGATAATGGAAAACAAAGCTAATTGCTTTTTTTATTAAATCACCAAAAAATTCAGGCTGTTTGGATTCAGTTCAGCAGTTACAGCCTGGATAGTACACACACAAACATTCACACACCCTATGAGTGAGTCCATAGGAGTATTATCGCCACCAAAATGGAAAGAATGCATGAGGCCCGTCTCTGAGTGCACTGATTCAGATGGCCATGGAGAGACAGGGTGAGAGTGAGGGAACAGAGATGGAACCTGTCATCTGTCAGCCCTCTCAAACGGGAGGAGGTGGCTAGGATAAGAGCACGGACAGAATGTGAAGCATGAATGGCTGTCACATCACAGCTCTCAGTCGGAGCGCATGGAGGGGAAAAAAAAGTTGTGGAAGGAGAAAGCATGGGGAGGAGCGAGAGGAGATCCCAGATAAGCAAGCATTGCCTTCACCACTTAAGCTTCACTTCAGAGTGACAGGTGCTAAGTGGTCAGAAAGAGGCTGTAGCCCAGTTGTGTGTGTCTGTGTATGTGTGTGTGTGTGTGTGCGTGCGTGTGTGTGCGCGTGCACTTCCACACTGTAATACTCTCACTTCCTCCTCTGTAGCTGTTGGACTTGTCTGGTAGATCTGGAGGGGCTGAACATGCGTCACCTGTGGCGTCCCGGAGTCAAGGCGCTGCTGAGGATCATCGAGGTTGTGGAAGCCAACTACCCAGAGACTCTGGGACGGCTGCTCATCCTTAGAGCTCCCAGGGTCTTCCCTGTCTTATGGACACTGGTGAGAACCAGGACAGAGTCACAGTAACCAGAAATATTCAGTAATAAATAATCCAACCACATTTTCATACATGTAGGAGGAAACAACTAAACATCACCATATCACAGCACACAGAAACTGTTATTTCCTTAACCATAACTAACTCTGTTAGAAAATGCAAGCTTTACAAACTGCTAACTTCTGCCCCTGGCCTTAGGTGAGTCCATTCATTGATGAAAACACCCGCAAGAAGTTCCTCATCTATGCAGGCAATGACTACCAGGGTCCTGGAGGTCTGGTCGACTACATCGACAAGGAGATCATCCCCGACTTCCTGGGAGGAGAGTGTATGGTGAGAGTCTGATGAACATTTTAACTTGTTAGATGTTTTTTATCAAAATAATTCAATTCTGAAGCTGAACATTCTGGGACGGGACACTGTCTGAGATCTCAGCTGGTGCCGTGAGGAGATCCCTCAGATATGCTGACCCATTTCCATGTGTGTGAACATACATGCTTTTTCTCTGCAGTGTGAGGTACCAGAAGGCGGCCTGGTTCCCAAATCCATGTACCGCACAGCCGAGGAGGTGGAGAACGAGGACATCCGCCTGTGGACAGAGACAATCTACCAAAGCGCCAGCATTTTTAAGGGAGCGCCGCATGAGGTGAGAGTGAACACAGAGCACTGACGTGAGAAGTAAAGATGATAATCCTGTGAGGATGTTTTACGTGAATGTAGGGCAGGATAATGTAGAGCTGCATTAGGGTCACAGAGGCGAGTTTTGTTGAATGTTCTGCCACCTAGTGGCTGTTACATGTAGATGACTTCTTAATGGTTCATGAGTTCAGATGTGGACCAAATGTTGAATCATAATCTGCTGTTACTGTCCCGTTATATAATTTATTCCAAGGGGAGGGATGCATCGCCAGGCATAATCAGCCTTCTGGAAGCTGTTTGGATTTCATGGTGATGCGCCTGAGACCATTACACACAGAAGTTCACTGATTCCTCTATTTTTATCTTATTTTGGTGCTCAAACATGGAGCAACATGAACGAAGAGAACAGTTTGAGATTCATTTCTTTATCGCAACACTGCCTTAAATGACAGTAAAAAAAGAATGTGAGAAAACGAGAACTAGAGAGAGTTGTAAAATGTTTCTCATTGGTTTTGTTTGGTTCTTTTCTTTCTTTCCTGAGACATCACTGAATCACTTCTCTCCCTCTTCTCTTTCCTCCAACCAGCTGCTGATAGAAATCATCGACGCCTCCTCAGTCATTACCTGGGACTTTGACGTCTGCAAGGGCGACGTAGTTTTCAACATCTACCACTCCAAGCGGGCCCCCCAGGCGCCACGCAAGGAGGCCTTGGTGGCCCACGGCATCACCTCGCCAGTTGTCAACAACGTCCAGCTTATCGACAAGTCGTGGACACTGGGACAAGATTACAGCATGGTGGAGTCCCCACTCACCTGTAAGGAGGGAGAGAGCGTACAGGTGAGCATCCAGGATCATAAATATTATTTTAACATTTAGAAAATATAAATGTTAACATTTTCTTTGCCTGTATTCTGTCTTTAGGGCTCCCATATAACACGATGGCCAGGTTTCTATATCCTCCAATGGAAGTTCCACAACATGCCGGCCTGCTCTGCCACTAACCTGCCCCGAGTGGACGATGTGCTGGCCACCCTGCAGGTCTCCTCACACAAGTGTAAAGTCATGTACTACACCGAGGTGTTGGGCTCTGAGGACTTCAGGTTTGTAAATGTGTGAGTGAGTGATAAAAAACATCATATTGTACATGAAGTCCATATTTTTGCAGTTTTTCATGTTTTTACATGATGTATAGTTTTGATTTCAAACTTTTAATTTCCTTTGTTTGCTGATTTCTCACTCATGCCCTCTTGACATTTTCTTTCTCTGCAACCTATTACATAGTGACACGTATGATTCAATCATCTAAAAATTTCAGTTAAGGCGTAGAGTTTTTGGCCCAGAGTTTTAAAATGAGGATACATCTTTCCCTTGGAAACTCTGTTAATCTTTTTCTTTCCAATCCATCCCTTTTGTCCCTCACAACCCCCTCTTCCTCCTCCTCTTCCTCCTCCTGCCCTGTCTTCTTCCAATGAAGAACCGCTTGCTGTGATGTGCAGAGTTTGTAAGTGGCTCAGTGTTTGCCCCCTTTTCCTTAAGCACTAGCTCCTCATCCTCATTGCTGCTGCTTTTGGCTGCTAACCTGAATGGCTCCTCAGTGGCAGTCAAGATTTTAATGCAGCAAAGAGATGCTTGATCGCATCTGTTTTTGCTCTCAAGTTAGAATTTTTAAGCGCTGACTAACAGGACTTTGTTCCCGCTGGAGAAAGTGTCCTTGCACGGAGACTACAGTTTAATTCACTGGCTTCAGTCACCCTGCTTGCATGACTAACAATATCAGGAATCTTAGTTAAGTTCACAGAGTTGTTTCTGTGTATCCAATCGCACACACGCCGACATTGTTTATCCACATACAAATTCATTTCTTGGCATTTGGTTTTCAATACTCATCCATGTTTACTGCCCAACCTACTGGACCTCACTTTGGTTTCAGTTTCCCTGTTTTTTCATTTTATCTTGTTTTCTAAAACTGACTTGAGATCGCCATCTAACTCATTGTAGTGGTATTTAACAAAATGCACACTTGGGTGAGAGTTACACATCAATACATTTGGGAATGTTTTGTTTCTTGTGATGCAGTGAAACTTGATTTTAAATGCTCAACGTTACTTTAGAATTGACGTTTTATGTAAATGTTAAATTCTTTATGTAAGCACCTGTCAAACCGTTTGCCCCCAGGTTAGAATCGCTCCAACAGGATGGATGATAACTACAAAGCAATACAAAAATGACTTGTCATTCATGTCATTCGTCAGAAGCAGTTAATCGGTCAAGTCATTTATGAAACAAAAGTGTGATTCATGGCTCTAGTTTTAATATCGTATCCAACGGAAACGGCATCAGTCCTCCTGCAGTGGTTTCATGTTTGGTTCTGACACGGCCCTGCATGTCTTCCCCCCACTCTCTCTACTTGTCTTATGCTTGCACTCACCTTGAACACTTGTAAGATAGAAAAAACATATACACTTTTACACAATACCATACTACTTCAAAATGAAAATTATACTTTTTTATGATTATATGTATCAGTATAAGTATGTATTTCCTTTCAGCTGTTAATGCAAGTCATCCTATTGAATTATAATGCGTTGTCATGTGTTATGAAGGTTTACATACAGGTTTACATTCAGGCTATAATGTTGTTTTATGGAAACAGTTTCAAGAGAATGGTTCATTAAACTTTACAATCATGTGGAAGCTGTAGTCTGTGGTGCTGGTGAACTGTGTTCCATTATGCAGAGAGGTCTTTGTGTTATTTAGCCTGTCCTCCATGTATAATAGGGTCGGACAAAAATAATAGCAACATTCATCTGTACAGTTCAGCAACACCATGAACTACAGCAGATTAGTTTTAACTAGGTGCAGTGGAATGTAAATGATACACTAGTGAACATAGAGTTCATGGAAACTTATTGGCTAAGCATTAAGCAGCTTCCTGCTGCATATACTTTGAATGTATATGAAAGGTCTTTATTTAAAACATGTTTTGAATTATTTATGCAGAATTTAATGCAAAAAATACACAAAGAAATAAAGCTTCATGTTTAGCTATTGCCACAAAAGACTTTGGATTCTGTCCAGTGAAACTCCCTGAAGTTAGGCAAAGCTTAGTTTTCTGGAAAAACACATCCTCATTGGTTGTTGTGGCCTTTTGTGGAACCTGAGTGTTTTGTGCTAGACAGTGTGGGTACATTTCCTGCCAGTGGGTGAAACTGCATGGTTCTGCTTCATCAGCAGAGTTGTGCACATAAACTGCTTTCAGTTAGTCACAGGCAGACTGGGGGTTGCTTATGTGTTGCATAAATATCAGCTGAAATGTCTCCTCACATGTTATCTGGCTCTGTCTCTTCTCTCAGGGGTTCGATGACCAGCCTGGAGTCGAGCCACAGCGGCTTCTCTCAGCTCAGCGCCGCCACCACCTCCTCTAGCCAATCACAAGCCAGCTCAATGATCTCCAGGTAGAAAATGGAAGCAGAGGATGTTAATCCCCATAATCCCCCCCTGACTGATCTTACCATCAACCCCACATTCTTGTTTTGGACTCTGTTCCTATTGCACAGCCAGTCTCTTTAGAACTGAAGCATGCTTGCACAAACAGAAGACAAAGAATAAGAATAAATCTGAAGCAAAAAGAAAAAAAAAGAGACTGTGCAAATTAAAGGGCGGATTTTTGCACAAAGGTCAAATATTTTTTGTGCCTGGCGTCTCTGCTAGGCAGCAGTTAGAATGAAGGATTAGCGAAATGCTTGTTTGCATCACATCACGTGCAGGGTGGGAAGGTTAATAGTCAAGAATTGGGTCGAGGGGCCTTTGTGGCACCGGAAGCTGAAAGAAGCAATATTCTCATTCTGGGAGCGATGGGACGGGACGACGACCCTGGAGGCGCTGTTACATATATGCACTTACTTATGTGTACATTCACATACACAGCACTGAGATGAGATGGAGCTCATTCCTGTGCGGTGGCTGAAAAGCCTGAATGTGCTGTTACATACATTACACAACACCAACATGTCAACACACAAATGGACGTTTGATGCAAAAAAAAAAAAAAAAACGTGTTTGCCATATTGTTACCAGAGAGGTTTGTTTAATCTGGTGAACTGTTTATAGGTCAAGTGTGGGTGCGGTAAACTCTTAACTAGACCTGGGTCGAATATATCACCTGCAAATAATGTTGTTTCTTTTAAACAGTGTGGAGTTAACAGAGTGGGTGGAGCTCACTGAATCATGACAATACAGATGGAGTAAGCAGAGTCTCCAGTTGACAGGAAAGTGAACCCACTTTTTCCTTTTAGGCGTCCGTTGTATTGTCACTCATCCGTCTCACGAGGGCTTTATCACACCTTGAGAAGCAGTTGACTATTTGACCCGGGTCTGAATCTCAGCGAAGTAATCCACTAGAAGCAATAAGGCGAGTTTGACTTTCTACTGTGTGAAAAGTTTCTATTTATCATTTTGATGTTTGTGGAGGATCATGGGTGCTGAATGCAGGTGACCCTCCTGCTGTGGACAGGCAGACAGACGGGCAAACTGAGCCAGTGAACAGCTAAACTCTGTGGCATCAGCATTATCACTTATTGTCTCTGTTACCATTATGACAGGAGAGAAGCAAAAAAAAAAAATGTCTTCCCAGATTTTCTCCTGGGCACCTTTTATTATCTGTTACATTGAAATTTCAGTAAATATTACCTGGAATGACCAGAGTTAGTTTGATTCAGGTTCATTCTCTGCACAGTTGTCGCTGATTGGTCCGCACTCGCTAACCAATACAATGCCTGAATTTGGAGGGTTCTTGTGTCGTTGGGCAGCACGCCTGTCATTCGATATTTGTTTTTCCAGAGTGGTGTAGACTTCAGTGTGCATTAGGGATGAATGTTACTTTGTGATTATCATTTGGAGGCCTGTCGATACGTTGAAACTGCACACGTGCTAGTGTTGGTTGGAGCTAAAAAGTTACTGATATTTTGGGGTGAGTTTTTGATGAGGTGAAGCAGTGAGGTGTTTTTGCTGCATGGTCACGTGGTGATTGGGTTTACGGATGTATTATTTAAAAGCTAAGAAATAGCCATTCTAAGAGCCATGTGTCAATAAATACCATTTTAGCCTTTGTAAGCATCACCTAGAAACGTACCTGCTTTTTTTTCAAGGTCATCACTGTAATAGATTGTGAATTAAGAAACATTTCTAAATGCAACACATCCATGCAACAGTTTTTTAAATACACTTTATTTGGTTAATGAGCACTGATGGCTCCACATAGATCCGACTGCCTGCCGAGGGGAGAAAAGATCATCATTGCCAGGAGTCATCAGGTGCTGTTGCCATGGTAACCGAGTGCAGCTCACAGCAAAAAGAAACAAAAAAAAAAAATCATGAGATGGAGGCTTCCTCCTGAAACTCCTGGCTCTGCCTGTCGTTGTTTTTAATACATGGTTGTTTGTTACTGTAAATGAAAGGTCAAGGGTTAACGTGTGATAAATATGTCATTAACTGCAATAACATGAGATGCTTTGGTGAGAAAAAGGACCTCCTCAGACTGAGGGCTGTTAGGTGTGAATGGTTGTGTAAAGGAGTACAGGTTATGAACGGTGGCTTTTAAGAGATGCCAGTAAAATGTGTGTAAACACTGACTCTGACCCACAGAGCAAGTGTTTCTCCACTGACGTGTCTGGAGGAGCATGTCTCCAATCACACAACTAACCTTCCTTTACCTGATTCTTTCTTGAGGAGACTAGATTTCCATTTCTTTAACGATTCAACTGATGAAACAACAAGTAGCATCGGTTCAATTAACTACTCATATTTCCCTTTCTCCCTCATTGTCTCTTGTACACTCCAGTTTAACAGTTTTGGTTTCTAACACTCCACGGTGTGTATTTATAGAAAGCAGAGTGGACCTTTTGATTGAAGCCATAGGCATAAACACTGAAGCTGTTCATCAGATCTCAATGACAAGTGAGGGCTATAACTGTTTGTCTTGACTGTTTAACACATTGGTCTGTCTCTGCTAATTTTTCTGACATCGTTGCATATCTTCTCTTTATCTTAATGTGAGAAATAATGTAAAAAGTACATGTTTGGATTCATGAGAATATGGCGCCTTTACATGTTTTGAAAACATTAAACTTGAATTATGAGCAAGTACATGTGTCAAATTCATTTGTCTGTCCTGTGGCTGTGCTAGTTTTTCATTATGTGATCATGGAGCTTTGAGGAACTTTTGACGATCCTCACACATTACTGTATATGCCACTATATATTATGTATATATAGTGTATATTACATCATATCTGTACACCATTAAGAGAAGAGTGCCTGGCTAGTTCCACAGATACTCCCTTCTGTCTCTGAGCAGTACCAAGGTCAGCTTATAGATTAAGGACCAACCAACAGTACATTGTAGTGTCTACGCTCAGGGACTTTCATATCTAACTCAGATGAGCCAGACAGACAGAGAGGCACCAACTTCAACTCCTCTAAATAACACCAGTGATGAGAAATAAGAACACAGTGTGGTTTAGTTATGAATAGTTAGACTTAACTATCCAATAGGACGTGAACACCTTCATGTAATATAGAGAGTGACAGTAATTCTAGCCTTTCATTGATATGCTGTTAGAATGGGTGATGTAGGAGACATCTTCAGACTTTATATTGTTTCACCTTCTGGTCTCCTTGATGCATCAATTCTACATTAAATTATTCTGCATAAGACATCAGCTGCTGCCTGAGTTCTCCTTTCACCAGCTTCCTGAAAACTTCCATAACATGTAGTATGGTTTTATTGTATGTAATGCTACCATGTGATATAAAAAAACATGTGACTTGGGGAACATGAGCATCTTTTATTTTTACAGTGTCTAATTTTTTGCAGTAAACTTGATCAGTGTCTCCTCACCCCTTGTATTCACTGTGCCACTGACTGCATTCATTTTCTAATGACCTTTTAATGAATGAGAATCATAAAAAGTTTCATTCCTATCATTGACTTCAGTAACAATATGTCCCAATTGACCTTGATTTCCTGATTGCAAACCACTATTTTCCTGTCTGAATCTTTCTCTCAGGGACTGTTAGAGCAGCTGTAGGCAAGGTGTTTGTGAATATAGGTGGAGAAAGGCTGTCGAGTGGTTGAGTTTATAATGTCTAGATTAAAAGTTTAAAAGTAAGACTTTTGGCTGAAAGTAAAGTTTTCAAAGAAATTGTTTTTAGTAGTTAATAACCAACATCTCTGATTTGCCAGGGGCAGGAATTTTCATCAGACAGATTTTGTAGCAGCTAGGTAAGAAGCCTTGGATTCATGTTATTGTTGTAACTATTAATAGCATCAGTTTAGCAATGAAACATTTCCTATAAGCCGAGAGATGAATCAAAAAGAAAAGCAGGATGCTGAGAACAGAGCCTTGAGGTACACCATATTACATAAATTAAAAAGTATATATACGATAAAAATTCAACAGGAAAATTAAGTTTTGCTGTTGTGTCTTATTCTATGTGGTTGAGTCTGTATTTCAATGTATTTCACTCACACTCACTATTGTCATCAGTCCATTGATCAGATTGTCAAGCCCCAGTTTGACTCTGATCAATATCTTTTAAACAATGATGTCACTCTATACAAGACAAATGTTGCATGTTGTCTCATTGTGGGAACTGTTTGAAGGTCTTGACCTTATTATGTTATGGTCTGGCGTTTAAAATGTAACTTTTATTTTAGGTAATTTATCATTGTGTTAAGCTCCTTGAAACCTTGTTCAGATAAGAGCTATACAAAAAAATTATTATCATTATACTGTATATTATATATTCTGTGATTTGCCCATTGAGCCAATAGATGGCAGCATTTGCCCAGATCATAACTGACTCTCGCTATAGCCTCCGCCTCCCTGTGACGTCGCTACACGGAAGTTAAACAGCCTGTCCAGTCCTCACGTCAGCTGTGTTGGTGGAGTTGTCCTGTATTCAGTCTCCTTTATATCGATCATACACGTATCAACACACGCAGATGTCTGCTCCGCCAGCAGAGGAGCTGGTCGCTCAGTGGAGGAGGTGAGTCCCACACACACACCTGGATAACCTGTTGACCGACCTGAGGCAGGAGCCTGTGATCGAGCTGGCCGCTCCATGAGCTGCACACACGTTACTTCAGTTAACTGTTCACTGTCACCAGCAGCTCCGGGCCTGAGCCCCCTCCTCAGCAACCAGTGCTTTGTGGGTTTGTAGTGAGGAGGCCAGTGATAACACCATGAGTCTGTACCATGTCATTATGCTGCCTGCCACTCTCCCCCCTCTCTCTCAGTGTGTGTGTGTGTGTGTTTTCATTCTCAGCCCACATTTAAGTGAATCTGTTTCACCACAATCACGTGGTCCTAAAGAAAAACCCTCAGACCTAAAAAGTACTGGAAGAAAGTTTATACCAGCCATAAACCAAACTGTACAATCAGCTCAGAATGAGAAAGTTCTTTTTTCATTATTCATTTGATTCATTTCTCTACACTTGGCTGTTTAGCTGATAAGTATAGGGAATACAATCCTGAATGCTTTCTTCTAAATACCTTATTGCTTTTACACAAACCAGTGCAGTGCCTGTTGGAAACCTGCCTGTTCTCTCGGTCTATGTTAATGTTCCAGAGCTACTTCAGAGTTCGTCCTTGTCATGAGTGAGTCCTCCTCAAACAGGTCTACTATATACTGTCACTTTGTATTGTTTATGTGTTGGACGTTGTGTTGAGAACTTTTTATTCCAACAGTCGATGGTGCAGAGGAAAGTTACAAAACTTTGTGTTCATCACACATCACACTACTGAACTGCTGTTATTTTTTCATATATTGTGTGTCAGTTATTTCAGAGGTCAGTTAATAAACCGACAAAATCTTCAAAACCAAGTTTCCAACTTTTCAAAATAAAAGCTCTGCAATTCAGCTTGATATAAAGCATTGTCGCAACAAAACAAAGGTTGTGCTTTTACTTTAAATACACATACAAAGTGTGAAGCTGTGGTTGGTTCTTAAGATATGTGTTCCACATACAGTCAGAAGTTTGTTGAATTCGTAGTTAGAGGAAGGACTTCTTTTAATTTATTGATTTTAATTAATGTAGTGTGATTATATAACTAATAATACTAATCCAAACAGATGTCAATATTCACATCTCCTAAAATATGCATTTGGATGTTCACTAGAGAGAATGGAAGTCTAAAGGACTAAAAAACCTGCCCTCTACACATTCAGCCATAAATAGTCAATAAACAAAACGCTTCACACTGTCAGAATATGAGGAAACTTTAACTTTAGCTCTATAACATTTAGCAGAATTATTTTTATATGCTTGTGTTTGTACTGTATGCTTCAGTTCCATCTGTCAATCTGTATAAAACTGGACTCAGTTCAGCACAAAGATCCAAGATCAGAGATCTATAGAATCTATATCAGCTGATCAGTCTTCATCATGGGACAAAAAATCTTTGGGATCACTGAAACCTTGTTTACTCCTCATTCTTCCATTGGCACTTATCCATCACGCAACACTACACACGAGTGTCCCACAGTATTTATATATTTAGAGCAATCAGACCGATTACTTCACACATCAGTGGATCCTAATCTCCACTCTGGGATATATTTTTGGAAATAGAACTTTGAAAGTAAATGCCTGATGGCACAGTCACGATCACTGCAGTGATTTTAAACACACTCGTCCTTGATGATCCACACACAGTGTAAGAAGATATTATTAAAAACTATTAATCACTCTGCTGTTTATCTGAACGTAATTTGCTGTAAGTTGTTTTCTGTTTTTTTCAATTGAAAGTTCTTATGGAACAGTTATGTCGCACAAGCACAAATCACACTGTGGATCAATAATCTGCTTCTGTTCACCACCTCACGTCGTCATTCCCCCGTCTCCAAAATGTTCATATACGCTTGGGTCAGAGTGGAAGTGTGCACATTCTTCCTTCAAGTTTGTTTTTCTTAATCCAAACGTTTGCGTCAGAAGTGGCGTACGCAAGTTTCAGGCACCATTTTGTGCCTACGCAACGGTTATGAATGATGCCTCTGGGCACATACTTGCACATAATCTGGGAGGGTTCCTAACTCTAACCCTATTCTGGTGTGAAATATCTGAAATATTGGGGAATTTGCCAGGTTCAGCTGTACCATCACACCCATGATTTTTCTCCTCTGGACAGAACAATAATACCCAAGGAATAGCAAATTCCGTAATAGCTCCAACGCCCATGTTACAAAAATTCTAAATGTCCCAAAAGATCTGTACTGTGTCTGCTACATCGAAAAGAAATGAATGAAGATTTGAATTACATTACTGTCTCTGTTGGTGTGTAGAGGCTTCACGGTTCCCCTCAGTGATTTTCTCTCTGTGCAGTGAGCAGGCTCGTCTGAGACAGCAGGTGGTGGAGGAGGACACTGAGGACTGGCAGGCGACCCCAGGCTTCTCTGGCCTGAAGAGAGTGGGTGGAGTGGACCTCTCTTTCATCAAAGGGGATGACGTCAACGCCTGTGCCCAGCTTGTAGTGCTCAGCTACCCCGACCTGGAGGTGAGCCGTCCCCTCGCTACACCCAATGATTACAGGGGAGCGTAGGAATATATATATAATATATGAGCTTTGCTGACAGCAGCAGTGTCTCTAGCACAACCTCCCACCTCTCACAAACCTCCACTTGTTAGAAAAAGTCAAAGCTAAGTTGATAAGACAGCTGAGCTCTGATGTCACAGCGTCACAGACAGCTGAGCTCTGATGTCACAGCGACACAGACAGCTGAGCTCTGATGTCATACATGCCCCTGACCTTACTGATGATGATACAAATCACCTATGAACACTGATTTGTCTCTGTCATCAAACTCTTGAGTTTTTGATACACGTCCAGTTTCATGCAAGTTCTAAGCATTTGAATTATTAACTTGCCAACTTCCTCAAGTCATGCGTTAGTGTTCTGCTCGAGTGGTTGCTTTACTATGTTATTTCATAGGATACACAGCAGGACACACAACTTTAAAATCAGACATTTTACACATTTACTTGATTTATATATTGAATGAACCAATAAAGTTTCTACAAAAGCTCTGTAGAGTTGAAGCCATGGTTTAATAAACAGCTCAAGGTAGAGTCCTTATTTCATT